TTTTTTACTGAACATCCTGCTGCTGTAGACACAGCCCTGGATACAGATGCAGTTAGTGTGTGGCACAATGGGGAACGAAAGCCCAGAAATGCAAGGCTGATGCAGTACTTGAAAATAAGTGTAATCCACTCTATTAATCTAAAGGAAAAAAACCACATAGTCATTGTCAGTTGATGCCAAAAATGCATTTGACAAAACTCAATATTAATTCATGATAAAAACACTCAGAAACTAGGAATAAAAAGTAACTTCCACAACCTGATAAAAGGCACCTACAAAAAAACTACAGCCAACATCATACTTAATGATGGAGAAGGAATGCTTTGTCCTTAAAATCCAAAACAAGGCAAGGAATCCATTCTCACTACTTCCATTCTACATCATATTAGAAGACCTAGCTAGTGCAGTAAATTAAGAAAAGGAAATAAACGGCAACAGACTAGAAAGGAAGGAATAAAATTGTCCCTTTTTGCAGAAGACATCACCCTGTATGCAGGGTGGGGCAAAAGCAGGTTCACAGTGTTCAAATGGAAAATAATACAATAATTAATAATAATACAAAAATAAACTTGCATACTCCCCACTGTAAACCTACTTTTGCCCCATTCTGTATAAAAATATATCCCATGGAATATACAAAAAAAGCTATACTAAGTAACTTTAGCAAGATAGCAGGATATAAGATCAACACAAAAATCAATCATATTTCCATATACTAGCAATAAAGATTTTGAAATCAAATTACCAAAACAGTGCCATTTACAATACAGTAGTCTCCCCCTTATTGTGGGAAATATGTTCCAAGACTCCCAGCAGATGCCTGAAACCTTGGGTAGTATTAAATCTCACGTATACTATGTTTTTCCCTATACATACATACACTAATGGCATCTCTTTGCCATATCCTAATTACCATCATCACTACTTTGTGCTTTGGGGCCATTATTAAGTAAAATAAGGGCTACTCGAACATAAGCATTGTCATACTATGACTTCAATTTGATAATCAAGACAGCTACTAAATGATTAACAGACAGCGTGTACAACATGGATACGCTGGACAAAGGGATGATTTCTGGTCCAGGCAGGATGAAGCAGGACAGCCTGAAATTTCATCATGCTACCTAGAGCAATGGTGCAATTTAAAATTTGTGAATTGTTTATTTCTGGAACTTTCCATTTAATATTTTGGACTGCAGTTGGCCATAGGTAACTGAAACTAATTTTGTATGAAAAATAATACAATATTTAATAATACAAGAATAAACTTGCATACTCACAACTGTAAACCCACTTTTGCCCCATTCTATATAAAAATGGATAATGGGACTACTCATAGCTCCCAAAAGAAAAATAGTTAAATATAGGTCTAGCAAAACATGTGCAGGATCTGTATGTGGAAAAATACAAAATGCTGATGAAAGAATTCAAGACCTACTAAATGGAAAAACATACCATGTTTGTAAATTGGAAGATTATAGTATACTAGAGGCCCAGTGCACAAAAATTTGTGCACTCGGAGGAGTCCCTCAGCCCGGCCTGTACCCTCTTGCAGTCTGGAACCCCTCAGGGGATGTCCACTTACTGGCATAGGCCCACTCCCTGGGGGGGACAGGCCTAAGCTGGCAGTCAGACATCCCTCTGGCAGCCCAGGAGCTCTCGGGGGATGCCCACTTGCCAGCAGGGAGCAGGCCTAAGCTGCAGTCGGACACCCTTAGCGCTGCTGAGGAGGCAGGAGAGGCTCCTGCCACCACCGCTGTGCTGGCAGCCATCAGCCTGGCTTGTGGCTGAGCAGAGCTCCCCCTGTGGGAGCACACTAACCACTAGGGGGCAGCTCCTGCATTGAGCATCTGCCCCCTGGTGGTCAGTGTGTGTCATAGTGACCAGTCATTCCCAGTTGTTCTGCTGTTAGGGTCAATTTGCATATTACCCTTTTATTATATAGTATAGTTAAGATGTCATTCTCCAGTTGACCTATAGATTTAATATAATTCCAATCACAGTCTCAGTAGGATTTTCTAGAGATACAGACTGACTATAATATGTTAGGGCAGAGGAACTAAAACAAAAGTTTTATAGAAGAACAAAATTGGAGGAGGACTCACTACCAATTTTAAGAATTATACTCCATGTACACATGTAGATTCATGTGGGACAGAAGAGAGAATCCAGAAGTAAACCCACACAAATATGACTTAAGTAGTTTTTTGACAAAAATGTGAAGGCAACTTAATGATAAAGGGATAGTCTTCAACATACAGTATTGAAACAATTAAATGTCCACATGCAAAAAAAAGGAACCTTGACCTAAAACTCAGCCTATACAAAAATTCATTCAAAATGGATCAAAATCTAAATCTAAAGTGTAAAGCTATAAAACTTTCAGAAGAAAACATGAAAGAAAATGTTCATGTCCTAGATATGACACTAAAAGAGGAAAAATTGATAAACTGAACATCAAAATTTAAAATTGAGAAAAATACTGTTGAGAAAGAAGACAAGCTATAGACTGGATATAAAATTTGCACATTTTGCCCTGACCGGTTTGGCCCCATGGATAGAGCATCGGCCTGCGGACTCAAGAGTCCCAGGTTCGATTCCGGTCAAGGGCATGTACTTTGGTTGCGGGCACATCCCTAGTAGGGAGTGTGCAGGAGGCAGCTGATGGATGTTTCTCTGTCATCGATGTTTCTAACTATCCCTCTCCCTTCCTCTCTGTAAAAAATTAATAAAATATATTTTTTAAAAAATAAAATTTGCACATTTTATATATGACAAAGGACTTTTATCCAAAATATATAAAGAACTCTAGAATTGTGCATCTAAAACTTGTATAATTTTGTTAACCAGTATTAGCCCAATTCAATAAAGAGGAAAAATATATAAAGAACTCTCTCTCTCTCTCAAAAAAAAGAAACAACTATTTTAATAATGGGCAGAAGACCACCAAAGAGAATAAATGGATGGCAAGTAAGTACATGAAAAGATGCTCAACATCAGTCAATAGGGAGATACAAAGTAAAGCCACAATGAATACCAGGACGTACCTACTGGAGAGGCTAAACTTTAAAAACTAACACTAAGAAGTGCTAGTGAAGATGTGGAGCAACTGGAACTCTCCTGTTGCCGATAAGAATCCAAAATGGTATAATCACTCAGTTTGGCCACTTATGAAGTTAAACATACATTTTCCATATGACCCAGCAATTCCACTCTTGGGTATTTACCGTAGAGAAATGAAGTTATGTTCATACCAAAACCTGTACATGAATGTTTTAGCATCTCTATTCATAATCACCAAAAGTTGCAGACAACCTAAATGTCCTTCAAAAGGGGAATGGATAAACAAAACTGTAGTAGATCCATACAAGGGGATATACTGTTCAGCAATCAAAAGAATTATTGATAATGCTACAACACAGATGGATTGCAAAGGCATCGTACTGAGGGAAGTAAGCTAGTCTCAAGGCTATGTCTTTTAAAAAAAATAAGCGCTAAGTACTGTAGAAATCCATTTAGGACATTCTTGAGGAGTCCAAATAGTGAAAAGATTAGGGATGTGGCGGAGTGACTAGAGAGAGGCAGCACAAGGGAGGTTTTTGTATCCTTAAGAGAGGCAGGCAATACTTGTGTTAAAACTCAACAGTCCACCAAAAATTAATTTACTATATGCAAGGCAAATAAAATTTAAAAGCAATAGCACCTGACTTAGAAAAAGTAAAATCTTTGTATTCAAGAAAGTATAGTTTTAGTACTGTTTTTCTGCAAAAATATATGTAAAAGTGAATGTGGTCATCTGATTAAATCAGTGGTTCTCAACCCTCTGGCCCTTTAAATACAGTTCCTCATGTTGTGACCCAACCATAAAATTATTTTCGTTGCTACTTCATAACTGAAATGTTGCTACTGTTATGAATCGTAATGTAAATATCTGATATGCAGGATGATCTTAGGCGACCCCTGTGAAAGAGTTGTTCGACCACCAAAGGGGTTGTGACCCACAGGTTGAGAACCGCTGGATTAAATGTAAGGACTTTGTACCTTCTCTGGGCAGCAAGAATTTAGGCTTATGCATTCAGGAGCATTTGACTAGTTTGCCCTGTAGGGCTGTGCTCAGCATGTTGACAGAATGACCAGAGATTAGTACTTCATGGATTTGCTATTCCTCCTACTCTTGTCTGTTTCTCCTTAAATTCTTCCCTGTGAAGATTGAAAATATCTACCTATGAACCAATTTTCCTTCCTTTTGTATGTGAAATATGTCTGATACCTCTCTTGGGACAGGATCTAAGGGAGCTACTTTATCCTGTTAGGTAATTCCAAGTGCTCCCAGTTTTCCCCTGGCCTTTCTAATTAAAAAAAAAAAAAAGTGCACATGTTTTAAAAATATCCTTTTTAATTTTCAATTTACGGTTTATTTCCCTCTACTATAGTCTCTTGGGATTTCTTGTGTGTTTTTTACCAAAGGACTCTTCTTTTCTTCTGGTTGTTGAGACCTCATCCTAACTGAAACTTTGTCCTCTTTTGTGGCTGCTGTGGATGAGCTGAGTTTGTCTCAGTAATTCCCTGCACATTTTAACTGGAATAATGTATCCTACCCTTTCTCCCTCCATTACATCAAAGCTTTAGCATCTAAAAAGAACAAAACCAATTGTTCTGGGGACCTGGAATGACTCAAGTCCATTTTGCCTTTCTGTACAAGGCCCTATTCAAATTGGGTAAATGGTCTGTAATCTAGGGGATCAGATTTTGCTGTAATAGGCATCTTTTTAAAAAATTGAATGTAATGCTGAAAATCTATACCCTATACACTGAAAGAGCTTGCAGTTGTTCATAATGCTTGAACAATAATTGTTAGTTTTTAAGTACAGGAATTTGAAAGAATGAAAAAGTTCTTGGGTATGTAAGACTCAGTTTCACTTTTTAGTAAAGCTTTGTGACATTTAATATTCTCATACTTATCACAACAGTTAAAAAAAGGTTTTTTCCCCCTTTTGTAGGCTGTCATTATTTGTATTAAAAATAAAGAATTTGAAAAGGCTTCAAAAATTTTGAAAAAACATATGTCCAAGGACCCCACAACTCAGGTAAATACAATATTTTGCTTCTAAGACTTAAATACATTTCATTGTTTTTTGTGGGAAAACAGGGAAAG